TAGATGCCCTTCAATAGATGAATGGATTTTAAAAATGTGGCATATATACACAATGGAATATACTCAGCAATAAAAGAGAATAAAATCATGGCATTTGCAGGTCAGTGGATGGGGTTAGAGAAGATAATGCTAAGTGAAGTTAGCCAATCCCCAAAAAACAAATGCTGAATGTTTTCTTTGGTATAAGGAGGCTGATTCATAGTGGGTTAGGGACAGTGAGCATGGGAGGAATAGACAAGCTCCAGATAAGGCAGAGAAGTTGGAGGGGAAGGAGGGGCATGGGGTTATAAATGATGGTGGAATGTGAGGATCATTATTATCCAAAGTACAGGTATGAAGACACGAATTGGTGTGAATATACTTTTTATACAACCAGAGATATGAAAAATTGTGCTCTATAGGTGTAATAAGAATGGTAATGCATTCTGCTATCATATATAAATAAAAAATAATAAAATAAAAAATTATATAAGCCTAAATTTTAAAAAAAACCTTAAGGTTTTTAATTTTGGGAAGTTCTTCCTTTTTTCCACCTTTTACTTTTTATCTGTGCTCTTGAGGTTGTTCGTATCTACTGTATCTGTTGTATGAAAATACTATAAAATTCCATGTTACTTCGCCTTACACTTCGTTTAGTTGTGCAAGATCTATCAGCACATTCTTGCCGGCCAAGGCAAGCATAAAATCTGCAGGTTCAACATATTTGATATGTTCCTGTTTGTCAAAGGAAAAATTTATGGTAAAAGCCAATGATATTTTTTAAATCAGTGACCCTAAACTTTTTTTGTGAATTCAAACTGTAAAATTAGTATGCAACATCATATTGAAGCAAAACTCTCAAAGTGGGGATCAATGGAAGCCCCTAGGGCAGTTCAGATTGGTCAGTAGCAATAACTCTATGTGAGCATCACATTAGATTTTTCCCAGGTCTAACCTAAGAGGAGAGTACAGAGTGTGTTTATGTTACAGAGTGTGTCTGTGTTATGTACAGTCGGCCCTCTGTATATACAGGTCTATACTCATGGAGTCAACCAATAGCAGATGGAAAATTCTTTTTTTTTTTTTAAATTTTTTTATTGGTTGTTCAAAACATTACAAAGCTCATGGTATATCATCTTTCATACATTTGACTCAATTGGGTTATAAACTCCCATTTTTACCCCAAATACAAATTGCAGAATCA